TCCTCACAGGGCTCATTTGGCTACTGCCGGGTGTAACTCATATGAATCCAGGTTCACACTTCAACCGGGCCGCGGTTGGCAAACAGACACAGACCAGATGAATCCGTGACTCGCGCTGTGTCTTCTTTCAAGAGAAAATCTGGAGCGTTCTCTTTCAAAAAAACGTCTGCTGAGACCACACACTGCGCTGTCCAAATACAGCTTTTGTTTCTAATGTTTTTCAACCACAAAAAACAACCCCTGTTGTCCAAGACTGTTTCCAACGCCATGCAAGGTGTCGCATTTAACATTTTTAAATATCACAACATTGTTCTGGTTGTATAACATCGACATTCATGGCAGTGTGATCAGAAATGCAGTATCTAAGGAAGCCCGGCAGTGGCTAGATGACCAGGCTGATTAAGCCATTAAAGTCCTTGATATGTATTTAGCATAATCTGGCCTGTCTGCAAATAAGGAGACAGGGAGCTGGTTGCGACTGTTTTTATTAAAAGCGGCTAGTTAGCTCAATCAAAGCAGCTGCTGGGAAGCTTCAGCTTTAATTCAGCGTTATGAGGAATAGAGAGGAGCTTTCTCTCTCCCTCTCAGGGGTGAAGAGATTCATTTCTGTCATCTGAAGAGATGAGGAGTGATCTGCCGTGTTCCTGGTCCTTTCATGTTCTCAGCTTAATTTGAGCTGAATCAATGTTTATCATTCTGCAGCAACTGGCCGATTGGCTGGGAGGGAGGATGGTTCTGTTTTGTTTTTTTAACTATGATTGTTGTTTTGCTTGTACCCGGCAATACTGTTTCCCCCTGGGTTGGATTAGAGCTGCTTTAATCTAGTCAGATAATGTTTTAATCAACATCTGCATTTTATTCATGCTGTGTTACATGATGACATTTTATTCCTGCATAATGAGGAATATAATATGTGGCCGAACAAAACATAAAAGCCGCTCAGCAGCCATTTCTGCTTTATAGTGATTATTTTATTTGCTTGAATAAATTAATTGATGTTAAACTGATACCTTAATGGAGTCATAGCAATTAAGGGTAAATGTCATGTCAAATGGTAAGTGTATTCTACGCTTTTGGCTTTATGTTTGTTTTTTACCTCACACAAGTCGGTTGCTCGATAATGCCCTGGCGTTCTTAAGAAAATAAAGGCTGGGTATCAAACCTCAAATCTTTTGGAGTGTTGACAAGGATGCAATTCATCGTCGGGGATTCAAATCTGTCGTGGGTGTAATTCTGAAATCAAGCCTGTATTACAATTTCTCAATTATTATAATTTTTTGCTCTGATAGAGTATTAAACAGTATTTTGTGCAGGTGTTTTATAAGAAGGAGAATATAAGAACGGCTGCTTGGGTTGGAGATAACATTTAAAATGGATCAATTAGTTGTTGGTCTTATTTTGTTACGGAAAATTATATAATGGTCTTAAAGTTTTTTTAAATCAAAAGAGAGGACTTACTGACCTAAAACCATGTGTAAGCACTACTAAGGGGTGTGCATTTATAACAGATGTGTTATACTTCATTAAGTCCTTACTTTGCACTTTATCTCACTTACAACCACAGCCTAGTTGAACATATTGAAAAAGTGCTCTTTCGATTAACTTCGAGTCCACATATCTTTTTTCATCAGTGACGTGGAGGCAAATTACATTTTCGGTTCTATCCTTTCTTCTCTCTCTCACTCTCCTTCCCTCCCTCTTCTCTCACTCAGCTGCACACTCCTCGTCTCTCCAAAAAGCAAGCGGGCTGTCGTCTCTCCCTTCTGTCTGGCCCATCTGTGATAGAGTATGGGCCACTGGCTTGATAATGATAGGCAGGCGGAACGTAGGGAACAAACCAAAATGGAAGACAAAACTCTAATCAGTTGCCTCACCAGGTCTACCAGAGGTCTCGCCTTGCTGATAAAAGGTTTGCAGTAGCGGCTCACGCTCTTCACTACGGTCCTCCCACCCATGCAAATGTGCAACACGCTGTGTCATGCACTGCAGAGATGTGAGGTAGTAGAGGTGGAGGACAGAGTCTTGCTAACACAGCAGATGTGAACCCTCCGAAAAGCCATCGGACCAGGATTGGTACCATGTGTTTTTCTTTCCTGATCGCCCCTCCTTCCCCCCGGTACTTGTGTTAGAGCAAGAAAAGGCCCAGGGGCTCGTTAAAACTTTAATATACTGTACAATCACAGTAATTGAGTAGAATGTTCAAGTTCTTCCAGTCATGCTTTTAATTTATGAAGTCCCTATGAAAGTTTAATGGATCAGCAGTTGTAGAGTTGCAGCTATCTAAATCATTTTGCAGCTATCTCTCCCTGCGCTGCCTGCCAAGTCCCGCCGTTAGCGTCCTGTGCCCTAGAAAGATGGCCAGATTGCTCCAAAGGCACGTCTGTTCAACACATTGTTACCTAGAGGTCTTTCACTGAGCCGTCCGATTGGCTGCGAGCTACCAAACCGGGTGCTGGCATCGATTCTGATATCTTTCACCAAGTATCCACTGCGTAACTTTGGGGTTCCTTTTCTTCTATTGTATTATTCATGCTATCAAGTACAGGGTCCTTATTGCTTGATGAGTGTAATTATGGAGCAGCCCTCATGAGAGGCATACCAGAGAATGCAGACACGATGAATACGGTGCCCTAGCTTCTCTTGCTTAAGAAAAATGGGAAATGCATGGAAAGAGATAACGGAAGCCATATCCTTGTTTCTGTTTTAGCAACACTAGCCTGACCGTACTTGAGATGTTTATTATTGTTATTAATATTTTGTCAGGGAGCAGGGTTCTGAGTGGCACAAGGCCCTGGAAGGGGCTTATTAAAATAAGTTATTGTCGGCGATCGCCGTAGAGAGATACAACATAGTGATTAATGGTGTCTTTTACAGCTGACAAAAAAGCGCAGGGAGACTCCGACTTGGGAGAACAGCACTGAGAAATCACTGCAAGGAAATTGCTAGGTATGTTTTACCTCTAATGAAAGAAACTATCCTTCAGATGTGCGTCATATTGGACTACTAAGGGCCATAGGGAAAATAAATCTGTTCTAATTTACTTTTGTTTTGACCTACTTAATGTTCTCCCATCCGATCTTCCATTATGAAACAATCTTTTTTTAACATTATGTCATGATTGCATCACTTAAGCTCTAAAATGAAAACAAGCTTGTTATGGCGTTTCCCGCTGTGACTTGACAGGTAGTGGGACAACATTTAGAGACACACGACTATCGCGGTCTGTTGTCGCTCCTTAACTGTTATACATTTAGCACATTTCAGTCACGCTGTCTGTGTGTCTCAGCTTCAGGAGCATGCAGATGATGTCCCTGGCAACTCTTCCTTTAAACTCCTGTTCCCTATTTCAAACTGAAGCAAAGCAAAGAATGGAAACAGGCTGGTAGCCATCTAGTTGTCACAGTCCAGTGCAGTCCAATCATATCCCCCTCCCCTCCTGCCTTGTCCTATCCCACACTGTCTGTGTTAGCGGTCAGGTCAAAGCTGACAGCCTCCCGTCTTATCAGCTTTTTTCCCATCACACACTTATCAAAGCGCCCTTTCTACTCCTCCTCCCGCTGTTTTTTGTTTACATTGCTCTTGTCGCGGCAAGTAAACACCGGCAGTTATCTTTCAGATGGCAACATCACCGATAAGCCACATCTGCTGCTCTGTGGTACATCTGGAGTGTGTAGTAGCAGTGCGAGCGCTTTGAGGGGAAACCAGACTTGACTTGTTAAAAGTGCAGTTCATGTTTATTCATTTTGTGAATCAAAACATTCTGAATAAAGGACTATAGCCCTATTGTGACAGTATAGTCAACGGTATAATGCCTTTGAAGGTATAGATATTTTGTATTTGCAACCCCTGGATTATGATTTGATATAAGTTTAAATTAATTTAATTCAAATGAGCAACACCAAAAGTAGGATTTCCTACTTTAATTCTTAAACCATCTGTTTTATACAACAAACTTAAGGGGGGGTGGGGCAGGGGGAATCTCAATTATTTAAGCCACTGCATGGTTGCATGTTTTCCCCTATGTTGTCAGTGTATTCATATATGTGAATCTAAATATGCCCAGTAGAGGAGGCTGTGCTGTGCTCTGTGGTTTGTGTGGAACATCTACTTCCTTCTAGTAGCCACCAAGTTACATTTGACCCTCAGTCACAAGTACTTGTGAATCCAACCTATGCAACAACCCCCCTCCCTCTCTCTCCAGGGACATACTTCAGCAAACATGTCAGTCCCCAACCTTCCAAGTCCCTCAGGGAAGATCCATTCAGGCCCAAGGGATGCCGGCTGGGGTTGGCAGTAACCACTAAACACCGTAAACAATGTAGCTTTACACTCTGTGAACATCCAGGGGCCTCAGCAGCGTGCTTGCTGTGTACACTATCTGGCTCAAGTGATGTCAGAGGGGGCAGTGGATTTAAGCAGGTTTTAGCTTGACGCTAATCCCCTCGTGGCACACACTGTGGACAACAGCACTGTCCCTGCCAATGACGTGCACGAACCCCATTGGATTAGCGCGTCTTGTCCCCTCCTCCATTCTGTTGGCATTGTCCAGCATGTGTTTTTACCCCAATTTCTTTACCCCCGGTTTTATTTTGGAATGTAAGCCTGACACCCAGCACAAGCATGATCCCTGCTGTAGAATGGAGTAGAGCCTCTCCCTAAAGGTGTGCATTTTTTCTGTTTCCATGTATGTTTGTCTCTTGCTTGTGTGTTTGTCATGTTGTGCCTCTCTTCATTGATTTCTAATGTTTCCAGGGCTGAATTATTTAGATAGGCTGCCAGCAGGGAGCTACATGATAGCGTGGACTTAAGAGTGAGGGCTGGGGGGGTGGGGGGGGGCCCTACAGCTGCAGTTCAGGTAAAAAGGTAGCTCATGCTTCACCTTTTCTCATCCTCTCTCCACCGCTCCCATTTGATTGGTGGTGAGTGTAACTGGAGAGTAGAAACACAATACCCGGCTCTATTTTCCGCTTTTATAGCTGCCCGCTTCATTGTCTTCACTGATGCCTAACTCAAGTGAGCAGTCGCATTTTGGTGGTGCTCTGGGCCAACGGGATCCTGAATGGTCTGAAGGTCAGAACGACAGGGCTGCAAGTCGCTGTCAACACCGTGGCACCGTTGCGGGACGTAGGAATTCTTTTTCACAGGGTGGAGCTGACTGTGGAGCTTGGTTTCACCATCACCTAGATCTTTGTGAGAAAGCTGATACAGACCTCCAAACCTCCATGTACAGGCAGGCCCAGCAGGAGCGGCGTGGGCAGCAGCTACTGAGGAAGACATCTGTGCCCGATCTCAGCAACAGTCTCTACCTCAGGCAATTGATGGCAGGCCGGGCCTCTGCACCACCTCAGGATTACTACCTGGCTGACGCTACTTTATCTGGCCAGCTTCCTGACGAGTCTGGATTTTATAGGGATAACCAGCACCTGCTCAACAGATCAGCCTCGCATTATGGGCCTAGCGCTGGGGGGTTGAGGCCTACCTGGGATCAAGGACAGGCAAGAGCAACACCTTCTGTGCGGCCCTCCGCCTCAACACCTACCCCTGTGCCTCCTCCCCCTCCACCTCCTCCTCCTCCACCTCCTCCCCTTCCCGTTCATGAGCTGAGCCGCTTGTACAGGGAAACACTGGGATCTAAGATGATACCAGACATCCACCGTATTGGCGGTTGCTCTCCCTCTCCTGCAGTTTACGGGGGCCTGCCCCCTCTTACCTATTACAATACTGAACAACCGTCTCTCTCTGCTCGTCAAGCTTATAACAATATCAACAGCTTTTCCCTGGACCCTCGCCAGCAAGCTGCATCCAGTTCAGGGCTGGACGCAGCTTCTCAGGGAATGGACGGAGCTCTTCACCGCGCGTATGGAGCTGTAGCCTCCCAGAGGATGCCTTATGACCCAAACTATGACCCCAGCTCAGCCATGATGGCTGCCACAGCTGGAATGAACTCCAGCATGCCTCATCACCATCAAAGCGCTCTAGACCCCAAAAGGATGGTGGACCCGAACTTCTTGGGTTACCTGCGAGCTGAAGGCTTGGCTGAGAGCACTATCACTCTACTGCTGCAACATGGCTTTGATTCTGCTGCCACGTTGGGAATGATGGAGGACCACGATGTTCGCTCTTTGGCCCCTAACTTGGCCCAAGCCCGTGTTCTCTCTCGTGTGGTGCTTGGTAGCAAGGCAAGTGGGGCAGCAACACGTACTCGATCCAATAGCTTCAGTCACCGCGAGCTTTACATGCAGCCCCAGGGTTTGACCATGGACCCCTGCCTGATGCAGCAACCGCCCAGCACCATCCAGAACGTGTCCCCCAGAATGGGAGAGTTTCTTGGTAGAAGACCCAGCAGCGCACCCTCCCAACACCTCCTGGAGACCACCAACTATCAACTAGCACGGCCCCTGGCAACTGGAGCTTTTCCAATCAGCCCCGGAGGATACAGCAATGCTGTCACTCAGGGAAGACCATTCTCCATGTACAATGCCCACACCGGTATTGCCATGTCTGCTCTTGGACAACAGCCTCCACCAGCTCCAGGCACCCCTGGAGCGGCACCCAAAACCTTTTCTGGTTCCTATTCCCCCATGGAGCTGATGAAGAGAGCTACCAACCTTCCTCCACCATCGCCAATAGCAGCGGCAACCCCCCTTCATAGCCCCCAACTTCTCCGGAAAGGGATGAATGCTGCTCCTGAGAGTAACATTGTTCCTGTAACTTCTTCATCCAATCTCCAAGCGCAAAACCTTAACAACAGCAAGTTGGTAGGACGTCGCACTGGTCCACCTGTCATAGTCTCAACTATGCTCTCCGCACCTGACACAAGTAATGTCAAACCTCACATATTTCCCTTCATTTTTTCAAACCCTTTTATCTCTGTCCTTGTTGCTGCTTTATCTATTTCTTGTGTAGGCTTTGGAAATAGTATTTTTCTGTGTTGTGTTTTGTCATAGATTAGATGCACGGTGAGATTTAAATCAGTTTATGATTGATAGATTTTTCCAATACTACAAAAACCAAAGTAGAAGCATAAGATGCAGCTGACAAGTTAAGCAGCTTTGCTCTGAGAAGTCTTTTTTTTTTATACGCAACTATTTATACACTTATTGCAACAGGGTTGTGTCATTTGCCTGAGGGGATCCTGTCTCATCACCAAGTTGAAACACTTCTTATGTGCAGTACTCTTTCAATTAGCTTATTGGTGAGAAGCAAAAGTGTGCTATTTGAGTTGTTTTGTAGTGGCATCTTGCTTTTTTGAGGTTTAAAGTACACACTTATATACCAGATCATTTTACTAACTATTCTCTTACTATACACTTTACATTTTACTAAGATATGGTTAGAAAATGTCAAATAGATATATAATAATATATTTCCAACTTATCTCTGGTAAAAGTTTCCTTTACGCATGGTTGCTGTCATACTGTTTTCTATTCTACTCTCACCTAATCGGAGGCTTAACTGCCTCAACATCCAATTACACTAATTGGATGTATAGTTGTGTAGGCTATAATAGGTAACTGTTTTTTATAGACACACTGATGTCTGTTTGAAACTCTGGTTGCATTGTCGTGCCACTAAACTTTGGTTCATTTATTTGTTGGTTTGCTATACACGACTCAATTGTACTCGTCTCAAGTAGTAGGTACAGGATATTTGTTCTCCTCCCACTCTGACTGAAAAGTAACTTCAAAGTATGTCTCGGCTGCTTTGTGCTGCTTTCAACAATTCTTAGGAATTGATTTGCAATTTTATAAAGTTACAGTGATAAAATAATTGTTCTACTTTTGAAGGTCCTTTTTAACCCTGCAGTCCTAGTGGCCTCACAGAATGCTTAATAATGTTTGAGTTGTCTGCAACTTGTTGGTCTCATACAATGATTAAGCAAGTAGTTTGGCAGCTTTTTATGCTCAGTTTACCTTGACAGTGGATTCCTCAGCAAGCTATCATAAAGTAATGTCAACAAAGAAAGGCCTTGATTTCTCCCTTTACCAAGTTGATGTATTTCCCTGCCAAAGTCAGCAAATGAGCTCAGGGAAGAATTATATCTTTTAACCTTGCTTTTATGCCATGTAACCCTGTGTCTTGCCTGCCTCTCTAATGGGTCTGTGGGCTGCTGCACTTGTTAAAAAGTAATGACTTTTATGAAGTGGCTTCCCTTCATGTCATGTTCTCTAGGAAATGATAAGCAAGTGTGAGATTCAGAGGCGGGGGGAGGAGTTGTGGGGGAGGTGGGAGTAGGAAGTCCCTTTTTTAAGCATCTTGCACAAACCCGTAGCTTTCAAAGGTCACACTGGCAGCCCCTCCCCGCTCTAGCAGTACACTTTTAGCACAACAAACCCATTTGCATGTAGCTGACATTTGTTGCTTCAGTAACTTCATCTGATAATGGGCAGCCCTTGCCGCTGATCGCAAAGCATACCTCTTAATTGTGTGTTGCTAGGCAACCTAGATTTTGGTGGTAATCAGAGATTGCTGATCTTCACATTTAGAGAAGGGGAAAAGTGAAGCCCTGCATGCAGTGTTTCATTTTTTGCACTTGTTACTCTTTACTTTTGGGCAGCCATGTGCAGTGCTGAACAGGATAAATTGATTGAGATAATAAGATGTTGCCGGGCACTTAATGAAAACATATTTCTCTACACTCTTCCTCACTTTCCCTCTCTCTGAACAGTGCACATCTCAAGAGATTGCTTCTCATTTTTGAGTGCATTTTTGTGCAAGAGCTTTAGTACATCAGTGAAGACATTCTCTTATTACATGAATGGTGTTTTATGTTCAAACATGCATATTGATGAAAAGTTGACACATTATTTATTTTGCACCTACTGAATAAATTGGTTGTTCTTCCAGTACAAACCAGTGTTCTCTTTATCATCTTGCATCAAAGTGTACAATTACACATAGGCTTCCACATTTCCATATTGGCAAATTGTATTCTATTCTCAAAGCTCCTTAAAATATGTTTGTAGAAGTTGCAGGTGGGAGGGCCCTGTCTGTGTACTCCTCTCCACAAGGCGCTGTCTTGGTTGGCTAAAGCCATAAGTAGTGTTAATAATGGCATTAAACGGTTGAGGCGAGCTTAGTTGCAACAGTTCCCTTCCATCCAAAGTAGGGAGAGCGCCTTGCAGCATTCGCATTGGCCATGGAGTTGTCCGTCAGTAGCGTCCCACAGAACAGCACAGGTGGGTAAACCTAACTTTGATGTCACGTGAAGCAGAATAGCCAACCCGCTAGTAAGAGACGTGATTGGCTTGTCGCCAGCATTGTGTGCATGCTCATTAGATTAACTAAGGTGGACGCTTGCATGTTGTCGACAAATGCCAGCACGTGATTTACTTGTGGAGATAATCCAGAGAAGATCTTCAGATGTACTTTTCTGGGCTAAAGAATTAAGAGGCGTTGGAGTGTTTGGGGGCAGGGCTTGAAGCTCACAGGAAGTAGAGATACTAGAACTTTGTTGAAGCTATAGTATGTGTTAGTCGACATGTTCACCTGTACAAATGTTTTCTCTTTGTGCCACTATAGCCAGGATTTATCCACTCAATCACAAGTTTAGTTAAAATATAGCAAACATGCCCCCCCCCCCCTTCTTTTGACAGGAAGCCATCACTGGTGTCGCTGACAGTTATGTAACCTTCCAGTGCATTGCTCCCATGAGAGCCTGAATGGGATTTTATTTTTGCCTGCCTGTATTTGGAAGGACATCCATAAGGATGAATGCCTAATGTGCGTGCAACTGTCCTTGGCTAAACTGCTTTGTTTTGTTCAGGTGTCTGACATTGATTTTAGCGTGCACTCTCAGGCCGTTTCTCAATCGCGAGTAAAACTGCTGCAGAGCAACTATTTCAAGTCATCGAGTGGCGCCGAAGGACTGTTTAAATGCATGTTAAATGCCCAGCATTCTGCGCCACTCTATGACGTGGTATACTTGAAATAGTTGCTCTGCAGCATGTGTACTCGCAATTGAGAAACGGCCCTGTCTGTTTTCCACACCCTTGATGTGTCAGTCTTGGACGAGTCGGTTTCTCTGTTCAGACACCTTGCTTTGTTTGTGTGAGAGTGCTTTGATATTTTACCTCAAATGCATAGTTCAAAAGTATTTTAGAATTTTTATATATGGACATGTTTGTGTATTTTTGTTGTGGACTACACACAATGCAGTGGCCCCCTGCTTTCCTTTCAAACACAGACCACAGATGTCCCTCTCCCAGCAGCAGGAAGTGTTTGTCTTCATCTGAGGCCGGCTGGATGTGACAGCAGGACATTGGGACAAGACCTTAACAACTGATCATGTGTTTTCTTTGCGAAAGTGAGGAAGACAAATCCCTGAAGTAAGCAAGCAGTGATGATAGCTCCAGTTTAGGCTTGTCACATATTTCAGACATGTTGTTGTCTGCTAATTAAATATGAATTATGATAGGTAAAAAGGTAAAAAGGTATTGACCAATTGGTTTACCGAATAATAAAATAAGATATTAAAAAGCTATTAGTGGAAACCTTAATCTCTTAGTAATTAGTTTAATTGGAATTCTAATATCCTGAAAAACAGACACAAGTAAACAAAATATTCTCACAGATGATTAACTTCTTGATGCCGTAATGGGTTAGGGGGCTAGTGGCTTACGCTACCTGTCCAGGAATAGGCTGAGAATTAGAGTGGGGAAATCCCACTGGCCATCTGTGTGTGTGTGTGTGTGTATGTGTGCTATGAATATGACTTGTGTGTGGATGCTATTATACAGGCGTCACGTGTCAGTGTGTGTCTGTGTCATCCTCACTAATCCCTTTGATATGAATGAGTGGAGACAGACAAGAGGTTTGAGCTCACAAGGCATCGGTCAGGGGTTATTACAGGGAATGTAGCTGGATACTAATCAGTGTAGCCCTGCTCGAGTATTGACGTCATATAGCACCACATGTGTGTATTAATGTATTGTATCTATGGAAGCCAATGCCTATTAAGACATGTACAATGCAGTAATAGAGTTACAGTCGGGCCTTTATTATATTGGGTGTGTCTGCGGTGAGGTTAAAGTGTTGTTTTTTATATTTAATTAGAGTTTTTTTACCTGCCAGATGAACAGTTTAGGTAATGTAACCCTTTGTGTTTATCGCTTCATCATTTAAGCGTTCACAAACTAATCAAGTTTACAGAAAATAAACCCATTACATTTATTTTCGTCTGAAAGTATTTTCTTTCTAGGCTTTTTTGCCTTCTGACTGGTCTTCAGGAAGTAAAACTAATTATCTGTTGTAAAAAGAGTTTGTCGATCATACTACACCGTTAATCCATAAAAAACATGTCTGAATGTTTTTGTTTGTTGTTTTGCTTCCCTGTCCTAAAATGTGGGAACTGTGTTTTTAAAAGTGCCCTTATAGAATGTTCAAAGCTTATAAAATACAAGTTTGAATTTAGGCCTTTCATTACTTAATTTAAAATCGTATGTGCTGTAGTGTAAGTACAAACCCAAAACAATGGAAAGCTTTTCTCTCTTTACTGTATGCTGTTGCGTTATTCACCTTCAGATTCTTGAATGCCATGCGCAATCTGCCATGTGTCTCCCGCTTCCTGAGAACCTGGTAAATGTTACATGAAGTATCTGCTGCTCCATCTCCACTCAGCCTCTGTATTGTTTGTGTCCCTGGGGAAATATGGCCAGGAACATCTATTTTTCCACTGCAGTAGTTTTGTCTCAGAAAAAAATCATAAAACAAGTAAAAGTGTTCGTCGAGCGCCATCCCCATCTCCATCTCGCCCCTCCCTTGCTGTCTTCTTGTGGTTGATCTTTCCAAACCATCAGTTGCATTCACAGAGGGATTAA